TAGCGAAAAAAGCCGTAAAAATCCGTCAAGAAAACGCAAAACGGGACCCTTTTTGGCCCGTTTCACTCATGAACAGGTAACAGCTCAGAAAGCGGACGTATGAACGAGTTCACCGCAACGCGTTTGGTGGCACCATGCCAAACCACGCTCCAATCGAGTTGCTCCAGTTGTGCCGCTGCTGGCAACGCAGCTCGTCCAAATCACCAACTAAACTAGTGGGCGGATCGCTTTTGGGGGCGGAGTGCTTTCGAAGTCCTGCTCAGCAACCAGCGCACCTTTCGTCGTGAAAGCGCCACACCTCGCTTCCTTGGCAGCCAAGTAACTGCTTCGTGTGGTGCATATGCTTCCCCGATGCGCTCCCTCTTTATCGTAATCGCTGCCTTTAAGAAACATCCAAATAAGAGGCGAAAGCAGAAAAGCTATAGAAAAGATCAATTGTTCACCGATCGTGGCAAAGTCATGCAAGAGGATCGCTCCAAGGGTCGCTTCACAACTGTTCGCTAGGTCTCAAAAGAACATCCTATCCCCGGGTAAAAATATCTAAGGGCTCAAAATCTTCCTCAGTAACTGGAATGGGAACATTGGTCTTCATTTCTTCAAGAAGATTGCGCTGAAGGCTTGGAATGTTCCTAACAGCGCCAACCTGATCGCCACAGCCAACGCCCTTTCCGAGCGACTCTGCCGCGCCTGCATTGAAGTCCATGCAAATTTTCTCGATTCTCAATTTTTCGTTGACCTTCATGTTGTGAATAACGAGCGAACAACGATCAAAACGATAACTATGTTCTCGTGTAAGTTTCGTGCTGGCGCAAGTTTGCTGTATTCTACGCTGTTCGTTATTTTTCATTCCCCGTGGTACATGCTATCAAATCAGCAACTATCAGCTACCTCAAACCAGGGTCGGTCCTATCGTTGCTACTTTTCGAAAAATTTTTACGACCCCCCTCCCCCAAGGTGGATTTGATACGACCCCCTTTTCCCTACCTCCACCATCTCCATCTTCCATCAAAACCCCGCCCACTTTTTCCTCCAAAAATGCCGTCGAGCGGGGGGGGTATATACGCGCGCTGAAACGGCAAATTTTCTCCCGCGCCGCTCCCCACTCATCACATGCAACTTCTTACAACCGAAGCAAGTACGACCCCCCCCTCTACAAACTCATCAAAATACGACCCCCCGTTGCTACTTGTAGCAACATAGGGTTGACCCTGCCTCAAACTCCTCGACTTCCGTGGTCTTCGAAGGAGGACTTCACGATAACAGCGAAGATCGAAGAAAAGGAAACTAACCTAGTGAAAGCCTTACCTAGACCCCCGAATTGTGCGTACCAACACGCAATTCAATTCGCATCGAAGGATATGCCCCCAACGATGTGACATGACCTCTTTTGGCGCAATTGGCCCGGAACGCCCACCGACTATCTGATCACTCACCGCAGGTCTCTACTCGGCGAGTGATTAGATAGCATGAGAGCGTTTGAAGAAGGCGCAACGATGAGAGTCGTGTCCATGCGGAGATCGGGGTCCCTCTCTCGAGTTTCAGGCCGTTTCAAATGGTGTCCTCTTTCGTCCCTGCTCCCTTGACCACCCCTACCCTTAGTTCCAAGATGCTACCTTTTCATCGTAAAATCCTACTCACTATAACGCATGCCACACTTCTGTTTTACAACGTCCCCTACGTAAAATACAAGACGAACAACACATGTGGCAACTCAATTCATTGTTATGGTCAACACAAATGACAGACACAGTTTCTTTCGAAGTTTCTTTCTTCTTTTGGTAATCAGTAAAGCATCTTATCGGGTGATTTGTATTTGTAGCCTTATGCTGTTATTGCTGCAGGAAGTGAATGGTGTTATGACCAGGAAGTTATGACCATTTTGAGACATCATAGAATATGAGATCGAGGTGCTGAGTCTCTTATCGGATATCTATTTTGTTGAATTGCTACTGCGGATCCTCCTGGTTAATGTATTGTATTTCGCAACCAATTTCTTTTGCGCCAGTTTGGCAGCACATTCATGGATAGTTGCTTTTATTACCTCAGAAAAAAGCCTAATGAACAGTTTAGATGCGCTTTTTCTCAACTGAAGCCAGCTACTAGTCACATCAAATGTGTGTGTGTGGAATTTTACGCGGTGCAAATCCGAAACACGTTTTAATTAAGCCGTACAATTTCAATCGCTCACAAGCCAGACAAATGTGCAACGAAATACCCCGTGATATTACATGGAAGAACACATGTACTTTTCCTACTTGTTTGCCAAGGCCGTGACATTTATCAACAAGATTACGTGTAAAATACTAATTTCTAGTAAAACTTCAAGCGTATAAAGGGATGCGTCTTCAGTGAACATGTCACAAGTTCAAAATGCTTTTGTTGCACACATCTGCAGTGGTGGTGAGTACAGCTTTTTCTTTCTTCTAAGGTACACCAGAATGGCCCGTTCACACTTCTTATTGGCGCAAAACACATGTCAAGCACAGGGCACGACGGTTCCTGACAATAGCATGTTGCTCTATTCACTCACTTCTTCTTCAGTTTTGCTGTCCTGCTTGTCCAAACAGCATCTGTGAAGCTCTACATATATGCATTCTTGAGGGTTTGAGCCCGTAGCAGGCGTGTCAAACCTACGTTTTGTTACTATGAGTTCATAGGAGGGCGAGGGGGGTGGCGTATCCGCTTCAGTCGCGTGAAAGTACATGTGAGTTTGTGGTGAAAGTGGAGTTCTTCACAAGTAGTAGGCTAGGTGAGTTGGGAGCACGGGAGGAAAATTCGCCGTTTCAGCGCGCGTATATAAGTGGTAGAATTTGGGGGATTTTGGTACTATAGGCCGATGTCATAGTTTGCGAATCGAGCGATTCGCTAGCGAATCGCTGGATCCGAGCGTTGCGCCAGCGAATCGAACGTTGCACCAGCGAATCGAACTTTGCGCCAGCGAGTCGAACGATGTACCAGCGAGTAAAGGAAGCCCGCCACTTTCAAACAGCGTCCACTGTCACGTGACACTGTTTGAAAGTGGGGCTTCCTTTAAACGTTGGGTCCCGCCACTATTGAGTCGCTGGTACCTAGTTCGACTCGCTGGTACATCGTTCGACTCGCTGGCGCAAAGTTCGATTCGCTGGTGCAACGTTCGATTCGCTGGCGCAACGCTCGGATCCAGCGATTCGCTAGCGAATCGCTCGATTCGCAAACTATGACATCGGCCTTACGTTTCATCCCCCCTCCCCCGCTCGACGGGCATTTTTGGAGGAAAAAGTGGGGCGGAGTTTCGTGGGTTGAGTTCAGGGTCAACCGTCCGTTCGAACTGTTCGAACGAAGGGGTCGCATTTTGGTCGGAAGGGGGTCGCAATTTCGAGGACTGCCAGCCACAGGCGCGTGCGTGGCGTATCCGAGGGCAAGAATTGTTTGTGCAGACCGCATTAGATTCGATTAATTATGCACAGAGAGACAGTTTTTTCGTTTTTTTTTCTTGAGTGGTACCAGAATTGAAATACTGTAGATAGGGTGATGTGGGTCGAGGTGGTCGAGTTGTGGAAAAGGGGGTCGTACCAAGTCCACCTTGGGGGAGGGGGGTCGTAAAATTTTTTTGAAAAAGTAACAACGATAGGACTGACCCTGGCCCGTAGCCCAAATAGATCACTCGAGAATCCCGATTCGGTGATATTAAAAGAATCTCCTCGAAACTCATTGGAACGTATGTGTTAAGGCGCATCAACCGGTTAGTGCGTGAGCCTCTTCCATTGCAGCCTACCACAATGTTTTGCAATGCTGGCCACCCGGTGAATTTAGTATAAAAAGGGCAATTATCTAGACATCTATTTATTTTCAACCCCACAACATCTCAGCGGTCCCGTCAATAGCTCTTCATAAAAAAACATATAAATAGCAGAATCACATACAGTTTGTTCCAGAGACATATAGGATTCAAGTAGTTGAAGTCTGATATTCATCATTTCGCTTTAAATAATGTTCGCCGATTTTTTGAAAAAAAAAATTTAAAAAAAATTTTACGACGAAAAACTTTCTTTGAAACAACTGCATCGAACTAGATTAAATTTATAATGTTATGGAAAAAGATGGGGCGACCACGGAAAGGAAGTAAATTTGAAATCGATGAGGAACAAAGAAAGAATACGTTTGTGAAAAACAGTTCTATTTCACCACCAACACCCCAAACACAAATAGATCAGTACTTCATGGGAAGATTGCGATCCCTGGTAAAAGCACTAGAACGGGATGGATCGACTCAATCAATCTTCAAAAAGCAACGGAGCCAATTCCACGAATGCTTTCTCCGACATGTGTTCTTCTGCTTATTGTTAGAGATGGTTGGTAGTACTTCCTGATCACTAATTTCCTGTCTACGAGGAATTGTGACCTTCTTCCTCTTAGGCCCTTAACCCGATGGAGCTTCTCTATATGAAGATTTTGTAGAGCAAGACCTCATAAGACTTCTCCACATCATTGGGTACTCAGGGCTTATAGAAGAGGTGGCGACGACATCGCCGTTGGCTACCTGCAGCGCACTGCTGATTCTGTCGTAGGACTCAGAAGGCCTCTCTAAAAGCAGAGTCGTCAAATTCAAAGCACCTTCTGCACAAGTGATCAAATAGCTTAACTCTATCTTTGTGTGAAGTCGGTTTCCTGATCGAGTCTTTTTCTTGGCTTCTACACACAAAAACATGGCGTCCTATACTTTTCGGCCACCCTGTAATTTGCAGGACTGCAAAGGTAAGGCCAGTATAAAAATTCCACGTATGCCTGGCAAAACTCAATCGGATCGAAACCGGCATCTACTTCCCGACAACCTAATAGATTCCCCACTAAAGACAACCAATGCGGATTTATATGTGGATACAGCGGCAGTTCCACGTCTTAGACGACTATCGCTCGCAATCAGCTCGTTCTTCCACAACCGCGGTTTCTATCAAAGATACCTGCAATCGATTAGAATGGTCGTCGACTCAAGCTTACTGGAGACATTGAATTACTTTGAGAATTAACGCAAAAGTTTGGTCACTTCGATTCCTGTACATCCTGTAACTAAAACTAAAGCTAAAACTGAGCCTTAATTATCAACACAAATGCAAGTGCTTACATAAAAACCACTCATGCTCTGATCAGAAACAATCAGTGGCACGATCGCGTAACCGCAATTTTCCACCCTATTAAGCGGAAGTGGTGTAGTGACAAGTGGCGCGCTTACCACGCGAGCGGTCCGGGATCAAATCCTGGGTCGTGAGTCGCCCGGGCCAACCAAGCCTTCCATCCCTCCGGGGTCGGTTAATTGGTACCAGACTTGTCTGGGAGGATAAAAACACTGACTTGTACATCGGCTGGCCCCCGCAAGTCATTGTATAGGCCACATCGCATTCAAACGCCACTACGAATGTACAAATGGAAGTAGAATGCGTGCCGCATCCCAAAAGGGATTGATCAACGGCAAATGCTTTATCCTTTTTTATACATTAAATACCACTTTCGACCATTCCACATGGTGCTGCCGTTGTAACTTGAGGGGAATGCACAAAGTGCAGAGGAGAGCAAAAAACGAGGAGTGAGCCAAACTAATCGTCAGCAACTTGTGGTCCAATCAGACTTTGAGAAAACCTCCCAATGATCGCTCTTCAGAACAAAAGCAGTGCTGAGTTATTTCCCCAAAGTTGATTGCACGAATTGCGCCAGAAGATCTCTTGTCGTATTTTTTACATTATACGCATGTCATATAAAGAGTTGAATAAAGTATGTGCAAGCAAAGGGAGTTTCCGGCGGCTACCGGGAGAGGATACTGCTGTGAAAATAAACTGCGTAGATGAAACACTGTCATTGCTTGTATTTGTTGTTAACTGCTGTTTTTGGCCGCAGTTCGCCTTGCGAATGTTTTACAAGAATGCTGGGTTGTGAACAAAACTTTCCGCCCCAGACGGGATTCGAACCCGCACCCCTCGTTTTCTGGACAAGTGCGCCACTTGTGCGGGTTCGAATTCCGTCTGGGGCGAAAGTTTTGCTTACGACCCAGCATTCTTGTGAAACTGTCATTGCTGTTTCAGATATGCAGCATCGTTTTGTTTACCATGGCTCACGCAGGTCAGTCTTCATACTTTTTTGACGTTATGAATCCTGCGGTTTTCCATTATATGTGGATAGTTGCTGTTTTTCAGAATACAACTGCAACAAAAACGTTCCTAAGAATACACAATCCCATCTAATTGAGGCTATCAATACCAGACGCCAAAAGTTAAGACTAAAACCAATAGAAGTGAGTGATTTGATGTAATGCATGTGCATGTAATGAATGCATGAGCCGGCTTATTTCTCTTATCGCGAGGAATGTTTCGAAGCATTAGGGTGGAAAAAATGCACAATTACCTACTGTTTAGGTTATCAGTGCTTATGTGAATTCTGATACAATTAAGCGCCTGTTATACGAACGTCCTCGTTGCCAGTCGCTAGAGCTGTATGACCTGAAAACTTTCGGCCCTACCATACCACCCGGCACCCCTCAAATCATGATCAAGGGTCGCGCTTGGGCGACCTCATAAATTCTGCGACCCTTGTCAGATAAGAGTCTTGATACGATCCCACCGATACATACCAATGCAGTACTGTTTTATTCACCCTTACTCCGTAATTTAACATCGGCTTTTTTGCAATGATCGCACCAGGTTTCTTTCAGACGACGAGGAAAGGCACGCTCTTGAAACGGATACACTTTAGTTATAAAGATTTCGGACATACAGGGGTGGCCAAAAAAAGAGACACTTCACTCCACATTTCAGACAGCATTAATCACACTTTGCTAGAATCAAATCGACTGCCCCAACTAGTATTGAAGAGCACATTCTAATCTATCTAAAGTTACATGACAGCCTTCTACACCGACGACATCAGAAGATTTTCCCACGGAAACATGGTTCACGGTACGAGCTCAACGAGGTCGTCGAGGTACCATAGACCATTACGACGTCCCTGAAACGCTGGTCAAAAGCGGTTTTGCATAGTCACAGCTAATGTCTCTGGAAGCTATTCAACAGTTAATCCATTGAAGAAATTATGTAGCAGCTTCAGGCCGGAGCGATTACGGTAAGCCTCGTTGAGCTCGACGGTGACGGCAGATGACGTCATATTCTGAAGACGGCGGGGCAGTGAAGGAGGGCCTGCTTCTGTTTACGGGGAACACCTAAGGAATATTCCGTAAAACTTTCATTAACATCGGCTCCCTGTGCGACGAAAAGTTCGATGATGTGCGCCATGGGCAAAGTGTCTCTTTTTTTGGCCACCCCTGTATAAAGATAATTCTTTTATAGTCCGAACTTTCCTCGAAAATTGAAAAGTCTTTCTATTTCTTCGGCTCCACTTTACAAATCTTTTGAAATCGCGAAGCACAGGCCTCGCACACGCGCTATGTAGAGGACCAACCAAAAGTAGTTGAGGGCACACTCCCCTACTTGATGGTGCACCCATATTTCTCTCTCAGGGTTGGATTTTTCACTAAGTTGTCCACATACATATCAACCAGCCCGTGACTGGCAATCCCCATGTTCCACTCAAGCCGTTAAAATGGCCTTGATAAATTATTCGTTTTGTCAGCGAGCGCTTTCAATTTGTCAAAATGACAGTGCTGATAAGCCTTCATTGAGTCGTAAAGATCCGGAAGCATAGAGACCAGATGCTCTGAAGTCGAACCAAGCTTCGAACACGATTTGAACTCTTCATGATCCCAATTCTTTCCCACAGCTCCTTCGATAAACCATCCAGCTCTTCAGCGGTGATGTGGTGCTGCTTTCTTA